AAGGAAGAAAAGGCAAACATTGTTATTCTTGCTGATCCCAAACATGTTCAGCTGTAGGAAAAATGCTRGCAACTTGTCTTGGAGCAGTAGGAATGTATATTGCTGCTGTCATCCACTCTCTTTGCTAAGGCTAGAAGTCCCTGCTATGAGCAGTATGTATTAGTCTATAGGGACCAAGGAGAAMACAGGAGTGGGAGAGATGTCTCTTGAGACAAGAGAAGGAGGTTGCTTTTAGACATTTGTGGTGCKGGTATCTGCAAGGCCTGCCTGCCCAGAGCTATGGAAATTTACATTATTTTTTTTTCTCTCCAGGTCTTTAAATAATTAAGGCAGTTAATCTCTTTGCAGGAAGCTATATGCTTTAACTCYCAGTCTTCCTCAAGTGGTATGCTATAATTGTACCGCTTATAATGGTCATGGCATACAGCAAAACAGGAGGCTCAGAAATCTGAAGACTCCAAAGCAGCCCACGTTTCAAATCTCAGCATTGCCTCAGCACTGTRAAGTTTAACTGGTTTTGTATTGACAGATAAATCGTAGTTTCTTTTGACRGTTTGTACTGTGAGTTTAGGAAGCTGGGCTGAATGAGAAGGGCCATGCCCTTGCTTTTTAAAGTTTGTAAAGCAAAGTGTTGGGTTAGYGACTGCATTGGGATTTCCTCTTTGCTAGCCTAGCCACAGTGGCTCTAGCCTGTGGAGTTCACTGGCAGTTGGAAGTTGCCCTGTCCTGCAAGATCATGGCAATGTTCCCTCTGGGAACTAAAAGCAAAGCATTATATTTTAAATATGTTTTCTAAAATGCAATAAGCAGTTAAAAAGAAATACACAGATCATGAAATTTAACTTTTTTCTTCTTTTATTTAACTTTTATTTATTTATTTATTATTTATTTTATATTTAACTTTTTTCTTTTGAAATTTAACTTTTTTCTTCTTTTATTTATTTATTTATTTTTTAAAGAATTAAACGCACAGTTCTGGTCATCAACTAGTTTGGCTTCCATTTCTATCAGTATGTTGCAATTGCTCCAAACTTCTTTTCCACACATTACCATGGTACTGGCATCATTTTTTTTTTTTCAGGTAGTACAAGGACAGAATGTGAGATAAAAACAGTATTMTGTAGAAGGAATTATGCATAAATTCCTTAGAGCTGGAAACAGTGATGATGGTGGAAGAGTATGCTTTGGGACCATGGTGAGGCTGTGCAATTTATTCTTGAATAAATGTAGCCCTTAGTTATTTCTCTTTTGTATAAATTCACCCCCTCTGAAGCAAAGTGTATGTGAAAATGATGTTCAGTGTACAGTGTAACAGTACAGTTAAAATTTGAAAGCAGCGTATTAAATATTGAAATAGAAGGATCTAAGTTGTAAAGCTGCTTTGTGTATTCTGACTCTTTTACTGTGCATTAAGACAGGGAGATTTGGAAACCTGCTGTTGACATGAGAAAGTTCTTATGAATTACAAAATACTAAAAACAATCTCATTTAATTTTTTACTGATCATAAAAACATCAGTTTCTGGAAGAGACTGTGGTTATGAAAATACAAAAAGCTTGCTTAATCATCTCTGAAAAATGGGTTTAGACTAATGTGTAATTAGTAATTTTTAAAACRTCTTTTCTCAAAACAACAAACAAGACTTCTCATTGTGGTAAACTTCAGTACTATATATCCTCACAAAAACACCCAAACCTGTTTGTAAGTGGGTCCCTACTTCTTGTTGAAGCTAATCATTGTGATTGAAAGTGGCTCAGAAGGGTGGTGTGTGASAAGCGATAATGTTCATGTTAGAAATTTTCCTCTTCAGCATAACTGTGTTAAGTTTTACGTCTGTAATTCTCTTAAATTTAAATCAAATATTACACTAAGACCCTCTTAGTTACTTACCCTGTTCTTAGAGATAAACAAAAAAGATGAATCTGTTTTTCTGGAAAGATTGTTTGGAGGAAACACTGTTTTGTAGTTACAGAGCATTTTCGTAAAAGGTGGTATTTTTAACATCTTCCTTTGATTCCTCACACAGAAATGTGAGTTTTTCCCTCCGTAGGACATTAATGGGTGAGGATGATGGTTATTGTGATTGTGGGTGAAGGCCCAGTCATTCCAGGCAGTCATCAACCTAACCCTGCCCAGTTCCTGCGGGATAGAAATCGTCAGGGCAGGGGTTCTGTTACCTGTATCTCACAGGGGAATTAGGCTGCTTGTTTGCTSAGTAACTTCATGGAGGTCCTGAGGAAGCTGATGGCAAAGCAAGAATTGTACCTGTTCCCTGCACCCTGGTCCCAGGCCCGGAGCAGCGCTGCAGAATCACCACCTCCTAATCGTGTTGTTATAAGTAAGAGCAAACACGATTTTATGAAGTAAGATAAAGAGGAGCCAAGTTGAAGCACTCTTAAGCTTGGTATTGCTAAAAATAAGCGCAGGTTTTCAAACGTGGAATGTTACCTATGCTATTGCAGAAGTAATTCTTCCTCTCCAATCATTCGGTTTAATCAAAATCTCATCAAAGCACCCAGTGTGCTATTTAAAAGGTGTGTATGAGCTACAGAACCAAAGACCCTGGCTCCTCATTGCCTTGTGGCGCTACTTACACCTGTAAGGACTGGGTGTAACATCCTGCCAGAATGAAGCAGGAAACAATTAATACCCCATGTGCACACGTGTAAATGGCTAGAAAAATGGGAACTACCATTTGGCCAGAAATTCCCACCTTGCAAAACGTTAGTCCTAACTGAAGAGAAAAGGCGGTCATGGCCGTGGTGGGAAAATTTTGGGGAAAAAACGGCCTAGAATGATTACACTGATTTATTTGAAAGGTGATAATATTCAATATCTTATRCATGCCGTAGTAAATATATTATACAATAGTATGCAGTGTTATTTAGGACAATATGAAAACCAAGGATCATTTTTACCTTTAAAARCACACTGTTAGTTTATTGAAGCAACATAACTGATCAGAATGATCCTACTGCTGTAGCAAGAACATTAATGAAAATTTAATTTTGGTATTTCAGTGCATGTGAAGGATCTTTTASTTGGTTTAAATGACACATGTCTGTAGCATAAAAATATGAACTTTGAATATGAGATGAATTTTAGTCAGCTTAGATCATTAAAATCTTAATGGTTTTATAGTGGTCCTGGACACTTTGACCCCTCTGAATAACTACTCCACCTTCTTCTAGGATGCTAGAAGATCTACAAAATGTTGCTACAAAATGTTGCAAAAAACARCTTCTTAGCATGTTGTAATGGTGTCTGCATATTTCTCGCGCAGTTTGGAGTGTTTGCATTGGAGACAGAACCTTTGGGTTTGGTCCAGCTTGAAAGGGCTAAACTCTAACATGTGTTTTGAAGTCCTGAGCTTGTAGGCTTGGCAGAGCACCTGGATGTACATGCTGTTGATGAGCCTGCTCCCTCTATATTTGCCCATGTGGCAGGCTTTCTCCTCTTCTACCTTCCGCATAACCTCGGACAAGTCTGTGCCTGGGGAAAAAGACACTTCTCCACTTTTTCTGTCTGTTCCTCTGGTCTCTGACACAGAGATAGGTCTCAAGACACTTTTGAGTCATTGCTTTAAGGAGACTGGAAGATGTTGCTGTAACACTGTGGGAGAAAGAGGCTAATGAGCGAGGCTAACTCTGTATTGGAGTCATCTTTTCCCAGGGGAAACCTATGTCTACAAGACCTCGCTGTTCCTACAAATTTTGTTCTTAATGGTTCAGAGAATTGGGATATTTCTTTATATGATTACAYGTGATTAAAAAAAAAACTAATTTAGGTGTCTGCTGGCTTGATTTAAATGTTGGCCAGAACACACTGCCGTCCCTGGGGGCATCTCGCAGTGCCGAGGGTGCCTCTGCCACTCCAGCTTCAGAGCTCCCATTCTCACTGCACGTTTGGGGAGGCCGAGTTGTTTATCCAGACATTGCCTGTTTTGTCAGAAAAGTAAAACTAGTTCCTAGGCAACCTTAATGAATGACAAGAACGTGTTTGTGCATAATTTAGATGACCTTGGCTTGTTGACAGTAATGTTTGGTTTATTGCAGTGGGCTGGTTTGTTATTATCTGTGTTCATACGAGGATGAGAACAACAAGCCAGCCACAAAAGGGGAATGTACCATAGTTATCAGACCTTTTCTTTCCCTCCTATTTCTAAAGTGTTTGTATTGGAAGGATTTTTCCTGTTAAGAGTTGTTAACACCCAAATAGTATTTGGAAGGCTCGGATGTGAATTCCTGAAAGTAAAGGATATTTTTATAAAACCTCTACTGAGTATACATGCAAAGACACATATAGATGTTAAGTATAAATGTATCTATGCATTCACATAAATTCTCTATATACTCATGTATAAATATACAAAATGGCATGTTGTATGTTATAATTTTATCCAAAGGCCATATCTGTCTTTTTGATGTGTTTACTTGTGATAGCAGGAGCTGGGAGTAGGGGGCTTAGGTGAACAACTCCTGTCATAAATACTGATGTTCTTGATTTGCTCTTCTGAAATATACCTAAAAAAAATTGGGTTATTTCATGTTGCCCAGCCAGCAATTGTTAGATGCTGAAATCATCTAATGGGTGATTTCAACATGTTGAAATCCTTTTAGAGTATATCCTTTTCAGAAATGTACTAGGTGAAATATAAATATTTGCTACTTGTAAGAAGGGACAAAGCTACATTTACAAAGGCATTTGACCATTTAGGTCAATTTTTTAAGAGGCTAGGGAACAGAGCGTTTTTCTCCCATTCCCAGTTCACATTCACTCCAGAGTGTGTGTGTTTCTTTTTTTTTTGGTGAATCTGCAAAGGCTTTGGATACCTGTTCTCTGAAGGAGATGTTAATGCAGTCCAGCTGGAACATCGTCCTACCACTGAAGCAAGGTGGAAGGCTTGGAACAACTTTGTCCCCAGGTGTGTTAAATTGGGCAAAATTGCAGGGAGAGAGGGAGAAGGCGCAATCTAATCTTTTTCTGGCTGAGTTGCAACCTGTCTTTCCAGAGATGTGTTTTCTCTACTAATCTTGCTGATCTCAGAGACTGCAGAAAAGGTGAGTAAAATAAGCAGGCTAAAGTTTTATTCTAGGTGTTTCATCCTGTTCATAGGAATATGTACTAATAACTTGKTAGTAGTGGGAAAATATGTAATAAAAATAAGAATTTAACTGAGCAGGGACTTGTGGCAGAAGTTTAGGACACCTTTCTACTCATGCAAACAGGACAGTGAGACTGGTTAGGAAGTTCTATAAGTCAGATTCTTTTTTTCCCCCTTTTTTTTYCCTATTTTTTTCTTGTTTCCTGAAATCCCGCCAGTGTTTACTTCATTTTATCCCCAGTATCTTTAAGACTCATTTTGATCCTTTCTTGAGGATACTTCTGTTTCTGTTAAAATTGTTCGTGCCTGCAGGTGTGGTGGAAGTGAACACTTTTTGATTTGTAACTTGTATTTCCCTTTTTGATGTTCCTGCACCACCTGAAATGGAGCTTAGGAGAAAGAAAACTGCTTTGGGGAAGCTCTTTAATTCTGGTTAGGTTAAAAGAAAGTGATGCCATGAGAGACAACACTAGCCTTACCTAGTAACTAAGTCATATACTTAGTAATGCTGCAGGCAAAATTAAATTTGGTAGAACAAAATTGGTAGAAACAAATAGCAACAGGATTTTGTTTAAAAATGTTATTTTATTAAAAAAGCAATAAAGCTGGTCAGGAATAAAATACAAGTGAAAAAACTCCTCAGAAAAACAAACTATTACTAGAAAGCTATCTGTTTCAGGCATGGTTCATCGGCCATTCGTAAGCCCCAATCCTATCAATTCTCCTGTCTTTGAATTCATAYATAAAAGATAAAACTGAATTCTCCAAGTTCCCTTTTCTTATGATATGACTCTGAAGAACAGGTGAACCACTACCTGCTGTGTTTTCATGCTGCTCTGTGTTATCTCTGAGATTCCTGTAGTTATAAATGGGGGTTCATTGTTTTGTTTTCTCCTTTTCTAGGTACTGCCTGATGGAGAATRCAGGAGACTTCTGTAACATTTTTTAATGTGCCTCAGGTTGCTGGTTTGATAGTGTGCTGGCRACTCCTTGGAGTAAAGACATTACATCGTGCCAGGACTGCTGCTGACCCTAGGGGTGAGTGTGAGCAAAGAACAGCTGTAACTTGGTTATCACAGATAAAAGGCAATTCATGTGGTAGATTTTGCTTGAACCTCTCCTCAAGCTGAAATGCCGTTCACAGATCCAGAGTAAATTTTTGCTGTTTAAATATGATGAAAGGAAACAGAGATGGAACCTGGGGAACAAAAACATTTGAAATGTATGAAAGGTTACGGAAAGGGCTCTGGAAGCTTATACCAATAGGGAGTCAACACCAGGCACTTGGAGAGAATTGGAGCAGCCTCACTCTTCTCACCTTATGACTGCTTAAAGGCACACACAGAAGTTGAAAGTTCATAAGAGTTGTGTGTAGAACTTTTCTGATACTTGATACTGCATATTCTTTATACACAAGATATTTAAGCGTTAGTGCTATAGTAATTTCAGTCGTGTCACTATTCTTTCAAGCACTGACCTACCTCACCTCATAAAATTTATCAGCAATTTTGGCGCATCCAGGAATTTCCTCCTGCTGTTCTTAGGCCTTTCACCTATTTCACTTTTAATGCTTATTTACTTTACCTCTGTGGCTAACAACAATGCTCCAGTTCGTCCAAATATCAGAGCAGGGTTTGGAATATTCAGCTACTCTTTGCTGTGAATGAGTTCTATGTCAAGGCTATAATCCAATTCCAAAAGAAAGGGCCATGGTTAATACATTAAATTTTATTAGAGCAGAATTGTTTAGAAGTGGTCACTGGAAAGGTCTGAACAAATCAGAGTTTGATCATCAGATAATTATCCAAAGTATTTATGGTGTGAGCCTTGCTATAAGCCAGCCTCTGTTGTACTCAGCCCACTCTTCTCAGTGTGGACAAATCTAAAAACACTTGTTTGGTGAATAGAATTAACAAAGTAAAGTTTAAATTCCTGGAATCCTATCATTCTGAGTGTCCATAATCACCAATTCTTTGTTTGCTTCCCCTTTCATTTAGCAAGACTATGGAATGAAATGCGTCTTCRTGGACCTTTCTTTTTTTGCTTTAAAGAAGATCTATTTTAAAATCTCTTAAGTTAAAATGCTCTGATTTTGCAGCGTATTTTGCAGCTTGTTAAAGTTAATCTTACATCTCTGTACCAGTCCTGAAATACAACCTTTGTAAGACTTCCCTTTTTCATTTTTCAAGAGGAGAACTAGATAGCTGCTGGTATCAGCCAGTGTATGTGTGTATTTATTTTATTTTATTTTTTTGTCTGGAGCCTGAAGGTCTGTCTTCCAAATCCCACTGACATTAATGAAAAGATTCCCTTTAGCTTTCAATACAGTAGATCTGATTTGGCTTTAGATCTTGTATCCTGAAGGGCATATCTGTAATGTCCGTAAAGAACTAAGATGCATACAGGAACAGCTCCTAGATAGGAATAGTGTAAGCCAATGCAGAGAGAGATGTTAACAGTGTCATTGGGCAGTGTGATTTGCGTTATCAGCTGTTACTCCAGCAATGGTAAGTGGCAGATTAAATTCTCAGTGGAATTTTCCTCTCTCCTTTCAGGCAATGTTTGCAGCGTGTGCTTTCCATCTCTAAAGGGAATAATTCAGTGAATGCAGGTTGCAGCTCTTAGCAAGAAAATCATTGTTCTTTTTATGAAATTTTATGTCATATAATGTGCAGTGTTCCTGTTAGAGTGAAGACTGTAAAGAATTTCTTGTGTAAGACTCCKTACATTATTTTCCTGAGAAAATTCATGGGCAATTTTAACCATTTTTTTTCTCCATTTATTTGTGTGGAGTACATGAGAGATGCTAATTAGCCTTCACAACAGCTCTGATAGTAGGAAAAGATTGTTGTTCACTTTGAAAGCATACTAAGTTCTGAGTGCAAAATGATAGCTGTTTTAAAAATAATTCTAATGTTTTAGTATAATCTGAGGGGAAAAAGTGTGCCTATTTTGACATCCAAGCATTTGGATAAAATTTGGAAGAAAAGCTGTAATTAACTGGAAAACAATGGTTGGAGCGTATGGTTAAGAACCATAAATACCATACAAAGTACCAGGTTATTCAACATGATGACATACAGAATGTTCTTCAGAAGTTTCCCTCTTGCCAACAACAATTTTTGCATGTTAATGAATTGTTTTATAAATTGGCTCTGGGATGTAATTATAAACATGGCACCCAGCACAAGAAGACAGCATTGCCTCCTAGGACTTTCTAAAGCAAACAACCATCGCATTTAAAAATTGGCACRAAGTCCGGTGATTATAAAGGTTCTTTTAGTGTAAATCAAAATCCTTCTTTTCCATCTTTGTGCAGCGTGAGATGAAGGGAAGCAGATTGCTTGTGGCTGATCAAAAGATGCAGGAGCAGAGGGTATTTTGTGAGCCCAGAGGTTAAATGTTATATGTTGAGTGCTTTATTGCTAATCCTAAAAGAAGCAGTTAATGAAGTGTCTGCTTCCACCTCAGCATCTGTTCCCCCCTTTAGTTAGAGGCCTCAGATAAGGTGAGGAGAGTGTGGCAGGTACATTAGCTCACAGCTCCCATGCAGCAGAAATGGGCAGCAGGGAGTGAASTACATCCCAGCTGGGGCCCCATCTCGCTTGTAGACTGATCTGCAGTTTGCCATTGGTGGAGAAACTGGTTTTAACTTATGTGAGCTCTGGGCCAGGTCCCCAGTGCTAAAAGCAATATTAGCTGATTTTTTTCCCTTTCCTTTTAATACAKGCATATCATTTAAAAAAACAGGTATCATAATTATGTTCCCTGCATATTACATTTTGTTTCCAAAAGTTCCTAATCTGAGCTGGAAGCTTCATGGAAAAACAATACTGAATGAATATTAATTGTATTGAGAATCCACATGATTAGCATAAAGAATAAGAACAGTAGATGCTTGCAAGTTTTGAAAATTGTTGGGAGATTATGTGTATATTTTAGTACATGTTTAAAATTATGCATTTTAACAAGATTGGAGTAAACTGAATTAAAAATAACAGTAGCAAAATAATTATGTCTAAGAGATTTAAAAACTTAAAGAAAAAGCCCTAAGAGTCACAATATGTGCTAATGTTTATTATCCTAATTACAGTGGGCCCTTTTGAGCCATGCTCAGCTGTGAAATAATTAATTTTGATGCCTGCAGCTTAAGATGTGTAACTTGTTTCTGACAGTTGTCGTATTGTAGAGCTCRCAGGGGTGGAGACTGATGCTTAAATATATTTTGTTATTCTAATTAATCTTTACAGACTTTAAGATATTTGAGAGAGAAGAGCATACATTTTTATTCAAGTTTTATGTGGATATTTGCAGTTAAAGAAATGTAAGAATTCTCTAAAGCATATAGGAATATAGCGGTGGATTTATTTTGCATCAGGTTAACTAGCAGATGTTCATGCTTTCGACTTGGTATCTTTCTTCCTTCCCCAAGTCAGGGTTGATGTGTTACATTTGGCTAGCTGTTGCTCAKTTGCTCTAAAATACATTTACAAGTCGATCCTGGAGAAGCACTATCAATTTGAAAAGGGCTTCAAGGCACTCGCAGTGATTGTGATTGATGGAGATAGCATGTGATTAAAAATACTTGAATATTGGAAGCAGCCTTGAAATAATGACAGCCCCCATGGGGCTAATGAGGTGCTGAGAGGGCTGCTAGCCTCTGCCTGCCCCACCTGTGAGAGATGCCAAGCACAGGTGGAGGCTGAGGTGAGACCCGTGCTATCATCTAGTTAGCCCCAGCTCAGAGAAGCAGGTAGGTTTCTTTTTTCTTAGTCTACYGGTTTGTTTATTTGTTTGTTTTAAATGTCACTTGGCTCATTAGCGAGCTAGGAGGTTATAAATGTGGCTGGGTGCAGCTGGAGCATTGAGCATCTTGCAGTCGGTTCATGTTGTGGCCTTGTGGTGTGCAAGAACATTGAAATTAACCCTCCTGGCAGAAATGTTAATTGTGATTAAATGGTCTGTGCTTGTCTTTGCCCAGGCTGCTTCCCAGACTGTGTAACCTTCAGCCAGAAATTCCTCACTGGCAACCTGGCATCTCRGGACCTTTAGACCGGCAGGCAAGGGGGTTTGCCTCATTAGAAGGGTGAAGTTGTCCATTGTGGTTTGGTTTGTCTTGCCTTGCTTGGGGACTTTACACTTCATTTCAATGCTGGTATGGAAGAGAGATTTTTTTCTGATAATTTATTTCCATTTAAAAAAGTGGGAACAATGGATATTAGGCAGACTGATTTTTTTAACATCTTTTCTGTTTTACCCTCCTATCTCCTTGCAAGTGTTACTATTTCTGTTACTAAAATGGTCCTTTCCTTAGGTTGTGTGTGTGCGTGTATATATATATATATATTTATAAAATATATCTATATGGTCCTTTTCCAAGATGCCCTATAGTCTGCTGTTGGTATTTTAGTTCATATCCTAACTTAATATTAACAAAATTCCATTCCGTTTTACTTAAAGCTTTGAAGAAATACACTGGGTGCCTAAGAAGCAGGTTGGAGTACAGCAAGAGTCTCACCCTGTCATGTTGTGTACATTTAAAAACCAAAATTCTTGAGCATGCCCAAGTACACGCAAAGTGCACATCTGTTTATTTTACAAGTGATAAAACCAAATTCTTTGTCAGTGTCCTTCTTGCCTCTGACCTCATGTATATTTTTTTTCCAAAGATTTCTAATTAAAACGTGTAAAGGATGCACATCATCTGGTTTTAACTATGGTAGTTTTTTTTTTTTTTAATGTGCAGTGATACCACAGTACCACTGAAGACTTAAGGGCAAAATAGAATYGATCCAGCGGGGCTAGTTGCCTTTCCAGAAATTCCGGCAAGTTCCAAGGGAGTTCCAATGGGCTTCACAAAAGAGTAGAAATGTATAAATAGTGTTTTCTCTGTTCTTCTCTGAAAATTAATACTTGGCCTTAATAATTGAATGACTGTGATTCATTGCAGTGAATACTCTCTCCTGTGTAGAAAGTGTATCGGCGTTTCTCTCTCTGGAGACCTCCCTCGTCCTTGGCTCCAGTCTCTTGGGTGGCTGCTTTGGTTTCTCTCTGTCCCATTTTTGTCTCAGCAGTCTATCTCTTCACACCTGACCAGTCAACTTCCTTTAGTCACAATGTTATCTCATCCTGGACATCTTCCTGCTAGTGGAACTTGGTTGGGTTAAAAAGATAAATAAAGGAGAATGTGACGTTGTGGATCCAAGCCTCGCCTGATCTAACAACCCGTGCAGGTGTATGTACAATGGAATTCAAGCTACAGCTTGCTCTTCCACTCCATATTGATGTTGCTATGGCCCCTTCTCCAGCAGAAGTGTGCCCTGCAGGTGGGAGCGGGTCTCTGGTTACACTTTTGTCCCCTCTTCAGTTCCCTTACACAGGGTGTTAGATTCTCTTTTCTTACATCCAGGATTCATTCTATATATAAAAGCAAATCTGTCTAATTTCCGTTCTCCCCCATGTGATGCTGTCTCACTTTGATGCTGTCTTGCTCTTCTGTTTCTGTAAGGATGGTAAGTAGCTGCTGTAGCTGTCATGTGGAGCTGTGCAGTGTTTGCAGCTGTGTATGAAGAAGGTCCTGATCGGAGACACATTTGACTTCCTTCAGGCAAGCTAATTCTTCTGGAATTGGCTTTCAAAGAACCACAGTGTGATTTTTTTCTTGCATGGTAATAAATGTCTGCCATACCCATCTTACAGCATCCTCTGTACTGAATCATCTTTTGGTTGTTTTCATTAGTCCTTGCACATTTTGCTGCATTGACTGAAGGACAGTTGCCCTCAAGKATAAGTACTCTGGACCTGACACTTAATGAATATATAATAAGTGTTGATAAATATTAATTATACTGGAGGTGAGCATTATTGATAGTTTTAAAATGTCGCTTGGTTTTGAAGTGGATCAGGCTGTGTTCTGGGCAAATTATTTATTAGATTAAATCTACTTGAAAATAAATAAATAAAACTCTTGTAAACAAATTGCCCCCTTAGCATTCTCCAAATGTGGCTTCCTTCCCATGCGTTTGCTTGACAGTATGTGCTGCAGAGTCCTCCTACCTTGTGCTGTTGTCAGTAATGTCTATTGTTTTCTTAACAGTGCATTTAGTTATCTTGGAATACAACGTCTCACTAGCGTTGCTGTATTAGAAATCACCAATGCAGGCTAATGTGGAGGACTTGGAGCTGAAAATTAAGATGCCAAATGTTCAACACTTAATTCTTATCAGCTCTTCTGSTTTGTGCAAGGATTAAGAAATGCCTGAATATGAATTAGATTGTCCCATCCAGATTGTAGTTCTATCAGATGAAAACGCTATATGAGTTTCAACTCTAAATCTGTATATCATCTTGAGAACTTTCCTTCAAAAGAGGGAAGAGAAGAGATAGTGTCTCTGATTTAAAAAAAAAAAAAAAAAATTGGTTTTGGCCATCATTTGGTATGGCCTGCATACCTTGCAGGGTGTGTTTATATTTAAAAGTGTGTTATACTTCCATAATATTATCATATACTGGACTCTTTGTCTAAGTAGGGACTGTGGGACTGGTCTATATGTAATCATACATTGACTTTGCATGATATTCAGATTGTGTGTGTGCTAATTTAAATCTTTTGGCAATGGTGTCCATTCATAAACATCCATCTAATATCTGTGATGAATATACCTATGGTCATTATCTCACTTCTAATGTACTGCATGGTGACTATCTAATCGTATTTACATTTGCAGTGCAACTCAGAGTGAATGACTTACGTTAGTAATAGAGCTGTATACCTGACAGGGCTGATGACCTGGCTTTGTGCTTGTCTAATAGTTAGACTGAAATTGTACCTCACAGACCAGTCATGGAAAAGTTACCAAAGCAGAGGTTTAAATGTTTCGTGTATGTGTGTATATGCATTTGCACACACACACATATAGATTGTGTGTGTGTGTATATGTAAATAACCATCTGGCTATATGTATCTTCAATTATATAGTTACCAAAAAAAAAAAAAAAAAAAAAAGAAGCCCAAGACTTGTAAAATAAAATTGGGCAGGACAGGTTTGCTTTAATTTATGAAGCAACATAAATCCCAGCAACTATAATTTCTGAAAGGGAAGGATATATTGTAATACAGAAGGATATACTGTAATACAGAAGGCAGCATTCTGCAAAATATTTTCCAGACAGCTAAGCCAAATGTCCAAAGGTAATTGGACTTTAGGCACATAACTCGGAAAGTTTTTATTGTGCAGTCAGTCTCTATTTGCATGAATAGCTCCATTGATAGATAAGTATTTAACATCTMTAAAATGGATGATTACCTTAAAGATGCACAAAATGAATTCAGTTCCAGTATGGCAAAGGAGGAGTTTATATTTTGCCTCCCCCAGCCTTTTTATTTTTTTCCCCCTGAGTAATTCAAAGAGCAGCTTTTCATTTAGCTGACACTGAAGTGTCTCCTACTGCCGTGGCTGAGGCAGAATGTGTGACCAGCTGGAGCTCAGGTCTCACCCGGGGTAATCTGATTTTGATAATTCCTGTAATGTATTTACTCACCAGACTCTTTCAAAGAGAAGTCATGCCACTTGCAGCAAGTTTGCAGAGCAAAATTAAAACACAGGGGCCTGGTCCAATCCCTCATGTTCAACTTAGATTTTGCATGTTCAACTTGCATGACCAAACTGGAACAGTCCCTCAGGTAGAATAATTTCAAAACTTTTTTTTCTGTATTTTAAAATCAGAGTTCATGCAAACAAGCCAGGGTTAATATGTCACCTCTGACTGTAATTCCCACAGTAAGCTGGGAACATATCCTTAACAGGAGAGGCCTTTTATATTTATGAAAAACGGTTGCCCACTTTTCTATATCATCATTAACATTCCCCTTGGATAAAATCCAGTGATGAACAACTTCCTCATGGAAGAGGTCATGGCTTTTCCATCTCCCACATGTATTAAATGCCAGTAATACAGTTGAGAATAGTTATACTGAAAATGATTTAGAACCACGGGGCCAGTGGCATTAAAAGAATAATGTAAGCTGCTTGCCAAGTCTGCCTTTTAAAGAGACTGAAAATTTATTGTTCAGAATGGGGAAAGCTTAAGGTTCTTTAAATTTCCTGTTTTGTTTACAGTACCCTAAGCACAGTACAATTTCCACGCGTGTATGGGAACCAGTTTGGGGTTTCTCTGCTTAGCCTGTGTAACGGTGCAGAACAGTTGCGTATCGGACATAAAATGTTAAGATTGGAAGAAAATCTTCAGTCCATCTTCCATGTGATTTAGAAGGCTCTTGCACATCTGCTCTTTGCAGCTTGTGCTTGCTGTTAAGGTAACTTATGTACACGTAGGGCATTCATGAGACACATCTGAAGTGAGGACATGTTGCTTTCAGGACATTTCTAATTCTCTCTATTTTCAGCTTCATGTTAAGATACAAAACAAAGTAGCAGTGAAAATTCTGAATGAGCTTTGAAATTGTAATATATTATGCCATGTTTCTTTAGCAGTTTGGTTTGCATTAGAAGTCTGAGCAGAAGCAAGTGCTCAATTCAATACATTTATTTTTGAGATTTTTTTTGAGTTTCTTCCCTTTATGTTTTACTGATTAGGCAAGTCATTCACATTTTCTTGGCTATAATTGGAAGAACATTCTTATACCTGTAAAGCATTAGCATGTCACAAAATTTTAGACTTTTCTTTCAAGTAATACTATTTGAGGTGCAATATGACTGGGCACTTTAATGAGGATAAGGAAAAACTTTGTTGTCTTCTATAACGAAGCAAAATACAGCTTTTTTCCCAAAAGGTGTATTCTCTGATCTTTTGATTGTTAGGGTCCTAAAATAATAGTTGTGACTCACCTAAGGGGAGGAGTTAATTCTTACCYGGAAGACAACCTGATATGATTGGTTCTCCCCTGTATTCCAAGTGGAAAGATCTGTGACTATGTAATTAACAATTAAAGTACATTTCTTCTTTTCCTATATCTATCCTATAAAATGACCTTTATTCAAATCTTTGAAGGAGAGAATGATCTCAAAAATCACTGTAAAGCTGCAGGTTTTTT